AAAAAATCAATTGCCAAAAAAAAGAAAAAAGAAGATGTGGTTCATATATACAATGGAATATTATTCAGTCATCAGAAAGGATGAATAACTACCATTTGCATCAACATGGATGGAACTGGAGGGGATTATGCTAAGTGAAGTATGTCAAGCAGAGAAAGACAATTATCATATGGTTTCACTCATATGTGGAACATAAGCAATAGCACGGAGGAGGGGAAGGGAAGGAAAATCAGAAGGTGGAGAAATCAGAGAGGGAGATGAACCATGAGAGACTATGGACCCCAGGAAACAAACTGAGGGTGTCAGAGGGGAGGGGGTTGGGGGGGTGACAGGGTGATGGGTATTAAAGAGGGCATGTGTTGTGATGAGCAGTGGATGTTATACATAACTAATGAATCATTGAACACTACATCAAAAACTAATGATGTACTATACAGTGGCTAACAACATAATAAAAAAAGAGGACAGTTTAGCTAAGAAAGTTTAAATAGGGCCACACATAAAAAAATAGAATACAAAAGAAAAATTAAATATAAATATCTAAGATTCCAACTCAAGAATCTACAAAAATAACAGCAAATCATAACCTAAAGAGAAGAATGTAAACTAAGAATTCAAATTAATGAAATAGAAAACAATTACAATAAAGAAAATCAACAGGGTTCACTGGTGATTCTTTTTAAAAGAATAATAAAACTGATAATCTTCTAGTAGATCCGATCAAGAAAAAATGAGAAAATACACAAATTAACAACATCAGGGATGAAAAGGGGGTTATCATTATGGATCCTATCAATATGTAAAAGATAATAAGATATGAACAAGTTTTGTTCTAATTTGAAAATTTTATTTATAATAGGATGAGTCCTTGAAAACTAATTACTTGAAAAACACAATTTACCAAAAACTGGTACAAAAAGAAATGGAAAATCTAAGTATTCCTTTATTTGTTAAAGAAATAGAACTCATATTATATTGGGGCACTGGGTGGCTCTGTCAGTTAAGCATCTGCCTTCAGCTCAGGGCT